CCATGGATGTAATTCGGTAAATAGTACCACATCTTCATGGATAAAGGCCCGACAATAGAGCCACGCTCCATGGATGTAGTCCGTCAATAGTACCACGCTCCATGGATAAAGGCCGGCAATAGAGCCACGCTCCATGGATGCAGTCCGTCAATAGTACCACACTCCATGGATAAAGGCCGGCAATAGAGCCACGCTCCATGATGTAGTCCGTCAATAGTACCACACTTCATGGATAAAGGCTGAAAATAGAGCCAGGCTCCATGGATGTAGTCCGTCAATATTACCACACTCCATGAATAAAGGCCGACAATAGAGCCACGCTCCATGGATGTAGTCCATCAATAGTACCACACTCCATGGATAATGGCCGACTATAGAGCCACGCTCTATGGATGTAGTCCGTCAATAGTACCACACTATATGGATAAAGGCCAGCAATAGAGCCACACTCCATGGATGTAGTCCATCAATAATACCACACTTCATGGATAAAGGCCGATAATAGAGCCACGCTCCATGGATGTAGTCCGTCAATAGTACAAGATTCCATAGATAAAGGAACGCAATAGAGCCACGCTCCATGGATGTAGTCCGTCAATAGTACCACGCTCCATGGATATAGTCCGTAAATAGTACCACACTTCATGGATAAAGGCCGACAATAGAGCCACACTCCAAGGATGTAGTCCGTCAATAGTACCACACTTCATGGATAAAGGCCGGCAATAGAGCCACATTCCATGGATGTAGTTCGTCAATAGTACCACACTTCATGGATAAAGGCTGACAATAGAGCCACGCTCCATGGATGTAGTCCGTCAATAGTACCACGCTCCATGGATAAAGGCCGGCAATAGAGCCACGCTCCATGGATGCAGTCCATCAATAGTACCACACTCCATGATCAAAGGCCGGCAATAGAGCCACGCTCCATGGATGTAGTCCATCAATAGTACCAGATTCCATGGATAAAGGTCGACATTAGAGCCACTCTTCATGGATGTATTTCGTAAATAGTACCACACTTCATGGATAATGGCCGACACTAGAGCCACGCTCCATGG